CCAATTAATTTCCTTAATGAAAGATTCCGCTGATGTCTCTGTTACGCAGAAAAATTGCTGTAATTCTTTTAAACCGGTTCCCGGGTGGAACGAGGTGGTTAAAGATTTACACTCCGCTTCTCGAGAGGCCTATGTGTTATGGAGGGAAAGTGGCCGCCCTCGCTCAGGACAGATCTTTTCCTTAATGTGTAAATCGAGGGCGTAATTTAAGTATGCCCTGAGGCGGTGTAAACAGGATGAAAAGAGGGCTAGAGCTGATTCGATTGTGAAAAGTTTTAATGCTGGCCAATCAAGAGAGTTCTGGAGAAAAATTCGAAATTCTAAAACGTCCCAGACAATCATACCAAACTCTATTGACGGCTGCTCCGGTTCTGAGCAGATCGCAGACCTTTGGAAAACCCACTTTGCGACTCTGTTAAACTCAGTAAACAACCAGACTCACCGACCAGCTGTATTATCTGCATTGTCATCTACGTGTTCTTTTGATCCTGATATGCAAATCTCGGCACAGGAAGTTGATGAGGTTATTAAGAACTTACCCAATGGAAAGGCCTGCGGGTCTGATGGGATTTCAAATGAGCATTTGAAGTATGCTGGGCCTAAATTGAGTGTCCACTTATCTTTGTTATTTTCGTCTGCTCTAGTGCATAATTTTTTACCTAGTATCCTTTTAGATACTATTTTGGTTCCGATTGTGAAAAACAAATCTGGTAACATTTGTAGTAGTGAAAATTACAGGCCTATAGCCATCGCTTCGGCTCTGTCTAAGGTCCTGGAGGCTATCTTACTAAATCGCCTTGAGCCCCTACATTCTTTCGTCTGATCACCAGTTTGGTTTTAAGCGTCATCATGGACTTGACATGTGTGTCTTCACCTTGAAGCAGACGATAGAGTATTATAGGAGTCTTGGTTCTCCTGTCTTCACTTGTTTTTTAGACGCCTCCAAGGCCTTTGACAGAGTAAATCACTGGACCTTATTTAAAAAACTTCTAGACAGGAAAGTACCTGTGTTCTATTGTACGTTTTCTTGCATACTGGTACCAAAATCAATCAATGTGTGTAAGATGGAACAATACCCTGTCTCTCCGTTTTTCTGTGTCAAATGGGGTGAGGCAAGGGAGCTTGCTGTCGCCTGTACTGTTTAATATCTACATTGATGACTTAAGTATTAGACTTAGTAATGCGAACGTTGGTTGTTATATAGGTGGTCACTTGGTGAACCATCTTTTTATGCTGATGATATGTGTTTAATTTGTCCAAGCCTGAAGGCTCTACAAAAACTCGTGAATATTTTGTGAGGAATTTTGGCTTCATAAATGATGTATTATTCAATGCAAACAAATCTTGCTGTATGTATTTCCCATGTGCCCGTTTGCTACTTAAGCAACCTCTTCCCTGTGTTAAATTGAACGGAGAGCCTTTGAAATTTGTTACGTCATATGTTTATCTCGGTATTCACATTAATGACAAACTGAGTGACGACGACTGTATTCTTACCCAGATAAGAGGTCTGTATAGCCGTGCAAATACTATTATACGCAAATTCGCTTATTGTTCTTCATATGTTAAAAAGACGTTGTTTACAGCTCATTGCTCCCAACTTTTTGCTGCACAGTTGTGGGACAGAGCTAGTTCTAAAACTGTATCAAAGTGTCGAGTTGCTTACAATAACTGTCTTCGCATCATAATGTCACTACCCAGATTTTGTAGTGCAAGTGAAATGTTTGTATACAATAGGATTGACACATTTGATGCTACATGGCGTAAACAATGTTACTCATTTATATCCCGTCTATACAAGTCATCAAACAACATTATCCAATCTGTTCTTAAATCTGAAGTGATATTCCGTAGCAGATTCTTTCGCAATAACTGGGCTCGTCTGTACATATAGTCTTTTACTGATGTAATTGTGTGTGTATTATATATGTATGTTGTATATGGGCGAGTTATGCCTGACATAAAGAAATAAATAATAAAACTACACACACACACACACACACACACACACACATACACACACACACATACACACCACACACACAGATGCACATATACATACACACACACACCACACACAAATACACACAGACATGCACATAAAAACACATGCACATACACAAACACACACACAGAAACACACAGAAACACGCACACATGCAAATACACACATACACACACACACACATACATACACACACACACACACACACACACACACACACACACACATGCACACACACATACACACACCACACACATACATGCACATACACACACGCGCACAAACACACATGCACACCCCCCCCCCACACACACACATACACACACCACACATACACATGCATGCATATACACACATACATACACACACACAAACACACATGCACACACACATACACACCCACACACATACATACAGACTCATATTATCATATGAACACCACACACACACACACACACACACACATACACACATACCACACACACATGCACACATACACACACATGCACATACATACATGCACATACACACATACACACACACACGCGCGCGCGCAAACACAAACACACATGCACACACACGTACACACCCACCCACACACATACATACACACTCATATGATCATATGAACACACCACACACACATACACACACATACACACGCACACACACACACACACACATGCACACACACACATACACACACACATACACACCACAAACACACAGATGCACATATACATACACCTCACACATGCACACACACACATACACACACACATGCACATACACACACATACACACACACACACATACATATATATATACACACACACACACACACACACACACACATGCACATACACATATATACACACACACACACACCACACACACACACATGCACACATACACACACATGCACATACACAAACACACACATACACCACACACACACACACACACACACACACACACACACACACACACACACACACACACACCACACACATACATATAGAATACAACACGGGGTATTCCGTATCGCCCGAGGTATCGGATCCGACTCGCGGGAGGGCCGGGACCGAGGGCGATGCGGAATACACCGTGTTGTATTTTATTTATATCATACCCACCCAAGAAAACGCGCCTTTCAATGCAAGATGAGCCAAAAGTTGGTGCCCCTAAACCCTCAAATGCAACAACATCAGTTCCAACGTCCGGATTCTGTATTCGAATTTTCGAAAGGGGCGCACGCGGTTAGGACGAAACGCGTTCGAATCGTTTTATGGAAGCTATGGAAGCGTTCGATAACGGGTTCCGGACCGGGCCGTAC